GCAGATGCAGTCAAAGCTTACGTCCAAGCGCTGTTATCTTCCAAATACAAAACCTGGATTGAGCTTCCCCCGGAGCTCCGCCCTAAGTATTGGAAACAACAGTTTGTTAAGCCCGTAGTCCTCTTAATTAAAGCCTTATACGGTCATCCTGATGCCGGAGGCCTGTGGGAACAACACCTGAAAGTCATCATCAAGAACCTTGGTGGACAGGAAGTTCCAGAATACCCAGGAAACTTTTACTTCCCAGATACAAAGTTACTTCTGTCAACTTATGTAGACGATTTAACTCTAGCTGGCCCCGCCGACCAGCATGATGCATTCTGGAGTAAGTTAACTTCTGTGGTAGACATTGAACCCCCAGAGCCCATCTATAGAATTCTTGGACGCAACCATGTTGTTACCCCACTATCCAAGACCGAAGGTCATGAAAAGTGTGCAGCCTTCCAAGCCCAAGATGGCATGGTTTTTGATATGGCAGACTACGCTCAGCAGACCGTAGATTTGTATAAGTCAATAACCGGCGTCACCAAACTCAAGCATGCCGCCACGCCATTTCCACCTGAGGGATCCATCACCATTGAAGATGATGAAACTAAAGGGGAACTAGCTCCAAATGCATGTAAGATTTTGATGAAAGCCCTTTGGTTAGGTAGACTTGCACGTCCCGACATCATCAAGCCTATCAATGATCTGGCCACAAAAGTCCAGTCGTGGTCCAGGGGGGATGATAAGAAGGTCCTAAGATTAATCCAGTATATAGCCTCAACCCCACACTACAGGTTAGTAGGTACCATTCAGGACAAGCCTGAAGACCTAGAGCTCAGACTGTTTGTCGATGCCGACTTAGCCGGCGACAGATCCACTGCACGCTCAACCTCTGGTGGCTTTCTGGTTTTAACTGGCCCTAGTTCCTTCTTCCCACTTGCATGGATTAGCAAGCGCCAAACATCCACTTCTAGATCGACCATGGAAAGCGAGGTTGTTAGTTTAGCCCATTCGCTTTATCAAGAAGGCTTGCCTGCCTTACAGTTATGGGAGCTGTTGCTTGCACGCTCCGTAACCCTTAAGGTCCACGAAGATAATCAAGCAACAATCCTAGTTGTGAAGAAAGGATATAGTCCCAAGCTTCGCCATATAACTAGAACACACAAAGTTAATTTGTCTTGCCTGTCCGAAGTCTTCAGAGATGACTCTGCTGAGATAGAGTACACCCACACCGATGACCAGGCGGCAGACATATTCACCAAGGCATTGCCTCCACACAAATGGGCAGCAGCACTAATCCTTTTAGGAATACGTACTGACCTTCCCTTAGACCTTAAAGCCAACGCCTAGGTCGCGGCGGACGCCCGTTCGCGCGACAGTAGTTGCGTAGGTTACTGCCAATGCGCAGTGCGTGTGGAACAGGCGAGGGGGGAGTTGAAATATATCGACCCCTGAGCCCCACTATGTATAGCATAGGTAGTAGGTCTAGTATTGGCATGCCGTAGCTATGATTCCATAACATCCCAAGTAGTTACTCCGAATACCTTGTGTACAGTAGTAGCACCTCATACCTAGAAGCGTTAGGTATGTAGATAGCCTAGAGTTTATCTCAGGGTCGTAGTTAACCTTCCCAACAACTACCGGGTAGGTCTTTAACTCCCGCTGTTTGATGCTCATGGCTCAAGTGCACAAAAAGCTGTGCGCTTGTCTGTTTTCATGTGCAGGGTTTGCCGGTTTGGATTCCCCTTGTTTTGGGTTTCTGTTCCGTCCCCCTGTTTGACTATTATGCGTAATATTGTATGATATACAAGTTATACATATTTATAGATTATTATATATCATAATATTGTGAGGTGATCTACTGTCTTCTTAGCACGGGCGCTGCAGGAAGGGTGTGTGCTGGTCACTGGCGGTCTTCTGCGGCTCTGTACTTGTCCTGGGACTCTTGTTGCGCCTTTCGGCAGCGACAGGTTGAAGGGTTGGAAGTAGCGATTTTTTCGCCAGTGGAAAAATGCTAAATGGTGGTTAATTTGAGCCATGAAAAATGCCCTGGTGGTTAAGGACTGTTTTTTTTCCTACCTATATTTTTTGTTGATGATCATAATCCATAGGGAATATCAGCCAACCAGTAAGGGAGAATCCATTTGAGAGACTTACGACCTTTGTTTTTTGGATGATTTTAGGAAATAAGTAGCCTCCGGTGTCATCAAACATGGCTGGGAAATCGAACCCAACGGATGTGTATTGATTCGAAGCTGGAAAAATCATCAAGCAAAGGATTTTCCAGCAAGCCATGGAGCTGATGGCACCAGAGGGTACCTTTTGTTTGCCACAAATGAATTAACATGGCTGCGATATCGGCGGAGGCACGTGCAGATGGCCAGGTCCTGACTCGTGTCCTGGATTTTGGCACCATTGTGGCCTTTTTTTTGGATTCAAGTGAAGGATAATACACAGAATTCCAAACTGTTTGATCTTAGGCATTCGCTTGGGGTCGGCCATGCCGACCAGCTGTTGAGATGAAAAATATGACGGATGCCATGAGATTCGGCAGATTTGGCAACTTTTCCAACGCAGGATGAGGAGGCAGAGCCTCGACGGTGAAGGGATGTACCGAGAAGCGCCGCAGTGGCATAGAGGACCACAGCGCGACGAGTTGTTCGGTGACCGCAGAGGAGTAGACAACCACAGAGCTGCCAAGGATGATCGCAGACAGGTCTATGGGCTTGTTCCCGAAAGTAGAGAAAATGTGGAATTTTCCATATGATTCCCATTCTTAGCGGTTTTCTTTGAAATTTCTATGTTCTATCTACTGCAGGATTATTGTATGTGTATACATATGTGTAGTGAATATCTAGGTGTTGGTCTAGCTTAGCGGTGAAACTGAAGCCATGGTTTTCTTAAAGAGAAACATATGCATGGCACCGGTGCTTGATGAACCATGAACAAAATGATGGCAACCACAATCTGGATGATGGCAACGAATCCTGAAACCATATAATGAAAATCAAATAAGTTGATGTTGTTTGGTACTTCCCCGGAAAACTAACAGAAAATTGCACCTTTTGAACGGGGAATGCTCTTGCAAACCCAATTTTTGCGGTTCCATCTAGTTTTCGGAGGTTTGTTTTCCCCATAGCGGATTTCGCCACTTTCTTCAGCCGCCCTGAGGTATCATAGATGCCTTGCTCTTCACTCAGGAGGTGAGTCGTTTTTCATGGGCTTAAGGTTTGGCGAAGCCCGAATGTTCACCCCTGCGTTATTGAAAAATGGGGGGTATGTCGGTGATGTAACCCATGTTTTTAAAGCAAATGACTGCAAATTATGAATGATATCATCATAATTATACATCAGATTCTTGGAAGCCCGACTCATCGATCAGGATTCATGATTAATAGTTGGAGAATGCTGGAGATACTTCGGGTCTGACTATGATCAAACATAAATAGGACATCCATGGACATCCTATCGCACCCGTAAACTGGCTATGTATGGGTCAAAATGTGATGCCCCACAACACCAGGATGGTTTCAGAAGCAAAAAATGTCTGGGTCCAGAGATTTATTCAGTGGCAATGTCCAAAGATAAGGACGATCGTGATGTCGATTCCTTCATGACTACCCTCTGGTAATTTAACATAACTATGGAAAATCACCATGCTATTAATGGGAAAATCCAGTATTTCTATGGCCATTTTCAATAGCTATGTTAGTTTACCAGAGGGTAATTATCTTGAATGTGTGCAACTGTCTTTTGGAAATATGACCCCTTAGCCCAACCAAGATTCCGGTTCTTATTGCGGCAGAAGCCATCAGTTGGGGTTGTCTAATACGCAAAATGTGACGGTTGATGAAATCATGTTCCACACTGAAATGTCTATGAATTCCTTTAAACTTCCCCAGTTTAGGGCAAATCCATATTCAGTCTTGGATTAGTACATAACTATATAGATCTATATTAAAATGTACGCATATAGGATCATATATATATATATATATGAACTCATATATAATCAAATATGATCCACCCGCCACAGGAACCATCCACTTGTCTGTGGGAGGTGCTTTTCTGTGCCTTTGCTGATCGTCTCAGGGACCCCTGGCAGAAATGAATACATTAGATGGGGATCAAAAGCTATGAGATGACCCATAGTTGGCTATTCATTATCTACTGTATTATTTTGACCAGATTGGCTATTCATTGACCCATCCCCACATCCCCATCTAATCCATAGATATCTCCAGGCTATTTTGATGTTAAGATGCAGATCCCCTGGTAGAAATGAACATCCAACATTTCAACTGGCTATTTTGATGCAGGGAATGGAATCTGGGTGAACGGACAAAAAACACAGATGATTTCTGGTGATTTCCCACGAAGCAACCGACCATTCAACAACGGGATTTCCCCGTTGCTATGTTGGCCCCTCAAATGATCGTAGCATATCGTAGCGAACGTCCGCATACAAATCCTCTCAATATATCATGTATATTCATTGTATACCATTTTCCCATGGATACTGCTAGAACTCTGACAGTGAAAATATATATCTATATAGAAATATATACCCTCTGGTAATTTAACATAGCTATGGAAAATCACACTTTTGAATGGGTGACATTTTCCATAGCTATGTTAAATAACCAGAGGGTATAAAATATGGAGGTTTCCTGAAATGGGGGTACCCCTAAATCATCATCCAGCTATTAGATTGGGATTTTCCATGAAATAAACCAACCAGCTATTTTGGAACTTCCATGGATTGGAAATCCCCAGTCATAGGGACCATCGAGGCGGCCTCGCCACTGGCGCACTGCTGCTCTCCACGGGCCCAAAGATCTTGAAGAAAAGCTCCAAGGTGTCTGACATGAACTTTTGGGGAAATTCATTTACGAAATGGGGGATATGTTATGGGATATATATTTTTTTAAATTTATATATAATAGGTTTCGGTCCGAATCCCTACCAGTGGTGAACCAGTTAGCAACGGAAGATCGGGAGATAGTACACCCGCCATGGCACAACATCTCTTTGGTCCTCCACATCCTTTGCCTGGTGACCTTTTCACTGGTGTTCTACATGTGATGAGTGAAATTGATGCGAACCTTTTTTCATGCAAGAGATTGCCTGAAAACACACCTATGTTGGCAGAAGGGGCTGTCTTGCCTCTGGGCAGGGTTAGCGTTTATGATGCCTTGGTGAACCAATTTGAAGACGTTTTGGTGATCAGTTTTACCCCAGAAACCTGGTGGAAACAAATTCCAGATATGGGGGATGCCCTATCCACGGCAGTGGTCGACCTATGTGCTGGCACTGGATCCATGAGTCTAGGCGCTCAATTCATGGGGGCTGAACCTATGGTTGCGGTTGACTGGAATCATGTTGCAATAGCACATCTCAATGCTAACCACAAGGGCACCATTTTGCACTTGGACATCTCAGCCAGGGATGCAGCCAGACAAGTGCACCAGGCGTGCAACCAGCGGCCAGGAACGGTGTTCATGGGCTTCCCATGCCAGCCGCACTCAGTCCAAGGGCAACGTCGTGGCACAGCTGATCCACGTGCAGAAGTGCTTTGGCATGGGCTTCACATTGCCTTTATGATCCAAGCTCAGGCAGTGATCCTTGAATGCACACCAGCAGCTGGCCACAACCAGGACATCCGGCATGGCTTGGCAACTCTGGCAGCAGCCATGGGTTGGACAATTTTGACCACGGAACTGGATCTTGCTGATGTGTGGCCTAGTAGGCGTCACAGGTGGTGGGCTCTTCTGATGCCATCTGCATGGAACCAAGTAGGCATGACTTCATGGACTTTGCAAACACCATTTGATCATGTTGGCACCATTATCCCGACATGGGGACATTGGACTGATGAAGAGGAACGAGATTTGCAGTTGACGCAGAATGAGTTCAACATGTTTCATGATGCACGTTTTGGCAGTGATGTCCGACATCTGACCATCGAGGGGTTTGCATCCACTATTTTGCATTCATATGCGAATGCACTTGGGCCCTGCCCTTGTGGATGCCGACACCAAGCATTTCATGAGTTGACCCTGCAAAAAGGGGGCTTGCGAGGTTTCTATGTGACTTCAGGTTCAACTGGACGTCCAAGATATTTGCACCCCCGAGAGGCTGGTCTTCTCCTTGGAGTACCAGACTCGATTCTCTATCCACATGATGTCAGAACAAGTTTGTCCCTTTTGGGCCTGCTGGCCTCACCAATTCAAACAATATGGATCTATGGTCATTTGAAACTCAACCACTTCAAGACCACATGCCACGGACCCTGCCCGTCCGTTGAAGACTGGCTGTGGGCCTACCTCAGGGAACTCTTGGCGCAGATCAACTTTGACTTTGGCACCTCAGTCTCTATCCCTCGCACCCTGGAGATCAATGCCAATGGAGAATATCTATCTCTTCCACTGGGACCTGACAGTGCAGCAGTCAGAACACTGTTGCGAGCAGAGCGCATTTCAATTGGCTGGAATCAAAGTTGTGCTCTTTGGCATGCTGACCAGCGCCTCAGATGTGATGCAATCCTCCTGGAATACCTCCAATCTGGACTTCAATTGAAGAGTCAGGAAGGAGACACTGGACGTGTACAACCTGCTGAACCAGTAGTCATTGCGGTGCAACATGGCCACCAACTACAAGTTCATCTTACCTCTCCTGGCAGCTTTCTCTTTGAAATCCTGGTAGAAATGCAACTCCCACTGATCCGCAAGGTCATTGACATGAAGGGTCGCATCTTGCCGGTCGACCTCAGGATCTGGCACCCAATCGCTGTCAAGACACTCGATGAGGCACCTTGGACTTTGATGCCTGGATTTTTTCGAAGAGCCAATGGGTCCAAATTGGACGAGAAGAGAGGTCTACACGATGGGCAAATCTGGAAGAGCCTTCTTGCGCTTCTTCATGAATCACCTGTCCTTGCATCAGCAGCGCTTGCAATCCATCCTGCATTTGCCTCAGCCCTGCTCCGAGACTGGCTCTCGCCAACTCATGTCCGGCAGCTGAAATTGGACTTTGAACACTCCTCAGGACACATTGCTTGCATTTTTGAGGCTCATGGGCATTGGACTTTGCTCTGGGGTTGCTGGACTCAAGTTGGCATTAGATGGTTCCATTATGATGGCCTCCACACGAATTGTCTCCATGACGCAACTCAACTGGCCACAGCAATCTCGAAGGTGTTGGGTTTGGATTTTTGCCCTCCACTTTCGCTGAGCATAACAGCCCAAGTTGAAGCTCATACTTGTGGCACGGTGGCCCTGATGCACCTTTTCCACATCCTGAACCCTGGACTTATGGTTCCTCCACAAGCCGTCAAGATCATTCATGATTGGATTTTGGCACAACCTACCCTTCAAGGTAGTATCTTTGCACAGGGCATCACTGAGCTTTCACGGGAACAATTCCACAAGCTCAAACAGTTGCTCCAAGATCATGGAGTACCTGATGCTAAAGCTGACGAACGAGCACGATTCGTCCTGCAGAAGCTTGGGGCGGCAACCATAGTGGCAGCCTTTGTAGCCAAAAACAGTTGGACCTACCTTAAACTGGCAGCCAACAAGCCGGGCATCACCATCCGACTTGTTCTCCCTGACGAGCTGGCACGCCACGCGGAGAAGACTGCGGTTTTGAAATACGGAGCTGGTGTCTCTGACCACAAGAAGAAGAAGAAGATTGACAGGATCCAGGACACAACTCCCCAGATTGACCCAACCGCACTACAACTCCAACCTGGGCACTTCAAAGACGAAGATGGAGAACTTGTTCCTCAGCTCCAACTGCAAGATCTTCAAGTTGAAGCGCATGGGATCGCAATTGCAACCAGTCAGCAGAGTCTCCATTGGCTCCAACATGATGATTCCATCAGCACTTCGGCTCTCGCCATCCTGCTGACGGAAGAGATCCCAGATGAACAACTGCTGAAGTTCAACATGACCAAGCTCTCCTTTCCGGCAACATACAAAGGAACAGGAGAACCGGTGCTCATCTTTGGCTGCCTCAAGAACCTTGGGGACAAGAAGATCAACCGTCATGTTGTTGGAGCCAACACGCAGATTGACATCATCAACACGGCGGTCCTCAGAACCCATGTATACCGAGATGAACTCCAAGCACACTGGCAGGATTTGACCAAATCACCGGTCAGACTTCTTTGCCAGAATGTTCCCCAACTACAGTTATGTGCTGGTGAAGGATGCGGCCCTGACTGCCCCAAGTCTCATCAAGCGATTGGAGAACATTTGGAATCCATCATCATGGAAGTCTGGGGAAGATCATTCGGGAAAAACGGAGGTGGCAGAGCACCGGCTGATGAAGCCACCTATTTCTCGGTGTACATCAGGGTCCCTGAATCAGTCCTCAAAGGCCTCCTCCAATCGAATGTGCAGGGCATCTACTTTGACCCTCGTCAAGACCGAGCCCCTGATGACCGATACAGGGTCATTTGGCTGCAGGCTCACACTTTGTCTGAAGCTCAGCATTCCTACAAGACCTGCATCAAGGCGCTTGGACTTGTGCGCCTGCGGCAGAAATATGGACTTCGTGTCGAAGCCGCGGATGAGGAAGCTGCTTTCAAATTCCTTAAGCCAGATGCCACCTTCATTGCGACCAGAGTGCAGAGAACGTTCCAGCTCTTTCCTCTCCCACATGGACTGCAGCGAGCTGGATTGATCAAGATCCTGAATGACCTCAAGTGGGTAGCCAAGCCTCTCCAGCCTGGACGAGGACAACAAGATGGCATCTCATGGACTGTGGGCTCCACGAATGCACCTCCAGTGCAAGTCTTCTCTAGCTTTGGCAAGGAGGTTCTGATCACGGAAACCACCAAACCTCAATCAGCTTCCAAGCCTTTGACTTTCTTGGCTTCTTCCAAGACCCAGAAGCACCTGCGTACGGAGGCCAATACATCTGCTCATGGCTCGACACCAGCAGACCCTTGGCAAGATGCTGCCATGGACCCATGGAATTCTTGGAAACCAACTTCAAGTGACGCTGCCACAGGCAAACAATCAGCTGGCAAAAGCCATCTTGCAGAGCTTACCAGTCAACTCAGGGATGAACTTCAAACATCCATGCGCAAAGAGCTTGACGATTACAAGTCCAATCAAGATGCTCACATGTCGGCCCCAAACGAAGAAGCCACTGAACAACGATTCGCCAAGATTGAATCTACTCTTGGCGAGATTCAAGCGCAGCAGACGCAGTTCACCCAGTGGTTCAACCAAGTCGGCCAAGCTTCAACGGCCACCGAGAATGCCATTCAGACGATCAACTACACCCTCAGCACCCATCAGCAAGACCTCCAGGGCCTGCATCATGAGATCAAGAATGTCTCGGATAACCTTGGCCAAACATTGCAGAAAACCTTGGCAAGCCACCAAACCGAGATGACAGCCGACTTTGCGGCCAGATTCGACAAGTTGGAGGCCATGTTTGCCAAGAAGCATAGAAGCGAATGACTAGGAGGAGTGGTGTCGTCGAATGGACACCGACAACACCTGAACTCTCGAAAGCATTGTCCACAACCTCTTGCTGGCTTTTGCCGCTTTCTTTTCTTCATGTTCTTGATGCCCTTCAGCATGGTGCACTGCGCATCCAGTTCCACAACTACTGCGAGGGCCAATTCAACTGAAGCAGCCTACAGCGGCTACACGGCTGTTAACAGCACTGGCTGCCTTGGGCTTAATGGGCAGCGAATCGGTGAGGCAAATCACCCAGGGCCTTTGGAGTTCCTCACCATTGGCACTACGAACCCCGGAGGGTTGCGCAACAAAGAGCAGCTGGCAGTGGAACAGGGAAGTGGGATTTGGAGCTATTCCGAGACGCATCTCTCCAAGGTCACCCAGATCTCTGCAGCCAAAGCCCTCAAGTTCCATGCAGCGAATGAAGGCAGACACTTGCGGGTTCATTTTGGGGCACCAGCAGCCCTTCGAGCGAGGTCCAGTTGGGCAGGAACATGGACCGGGGTCGCTTGCACTAGTGACCACAGCTCAAAAGTTCTTCAAGTTCCCTGGCCGGACGATTTTTGGGCATCTGGCCGAGTCCTTGCGACACAACACTTTGTCGGACACCACGTGATCACTGTGGTCACTATTTATGGTTTGCCACGGGGTCCCACATGGCCCAAAGCTGCTGAGTTGACAAATTCCCTCCTGGAGTACATCACCAAAGAGTTTGTGGTGGGATACCAGGGCATCATTATCATCAATGGTGACTTCAACTACAGCCCCCATGAGCTGCCATGTTTTGACGTTTGGAGAGCCTATGGATTTTGCTCTGCACAAGACTATGCCAACCATCGATGGCATCAACCCGTTGCACCAACTTGTAAAGGAGCAACCGAACGTGACCTCCTTTGGATGTCACCGATGGCGGCAGCACTATGCCAAAAGGTGGGTGTCAACGATGTCTTCCATGACCACTCCTCGGTCTATGTGCAGCTCCAAGTTGAAGTGCTTCCACATGTCATGCGTACGTGGCCTAGGCCACGTGAGGTGCCATGGCAACAAGTTCCCATTGCAGAATGGCATCAACATTGTGAAAGCCTGGATTTACCAGTTCCCACTGACCCAACGCTGGCCATGAAAGAGCTCGCAATATCCTTTGAGACATCCTTGACAGGATATGTTCCAGACCTACACGAGGCCAAACTTTCGTCTGCGCACTGTGGGCGTGCTCAGCGACTTCAACCAGCACGACAAACAACTACGCCTTTGACCTGTCGGGCAAGCAGACCGGGCGAAGCCAAACTGGTTGATGACAAAGTTGGCAAAGCGGTGATCTTGTGGTTCAAGCAGCTGCGCCGAATCCAGTCATTTAGACATGCCAGCTGCGCTGGCCACTTGCATCATGAAGCTGTACAATACAGAATCGAGCTCTGGACAGCGATCAAAAGAGCCAAGGGCTTCAATGGGTCATTTAGTGATTGGTGGCTCTCTCAAGAGTTTGCCATGGGGTTGGGCCCTTTGCCCGAGCAACCTCCAGGAGCACACCAAGCGGTCCTCATTTACCAGGCTTTTCACCATGTTTTTCGTTCTTTTGAACAATGGCACCTACGCCAACGACAACAGGTCTTGCAAGCCAAGTACGACAAAACGATGAAGGCTTTGTTCCACGACCTTAGAAAGCCAAGACCTGATCAAGTTGATTCTTTTTGGGACACTCGGTCCTATGAAGTTGCGGCCGTCAAGGCTGACACCAAGGGGATTCTTTTTACACAGCCCGTGCCGAGCCATGAAGATGGCCAATGGTTTTTCCAAGGGCAGTCACTTGCTGTGCATGGCTCCATTGAAGAGCTCCTGATTTTGGATTTCCTTCCAGAAGTTGCTCCTGGTGACCACATTGACTTTCACTACCACACGGTCACCACAGACCAGGTTCACCAAAGCCTCATGGACTTTTGGCAACCAAGATGGAATCGCGAAGAGCTTCAACAAGCTGACACCTGGAGCAGAATGATCAACTTTGTCAAGGCATACATGCCCAAAATACCATTGACCTTGCCGACGTTGACTGTGGAAATGTGGCGAGAAGCACTCAAGAGATTCAAACCACAGGCGGCAAGAGGAGCTGACGGATGGGCCAGACTGGACCTCCTCAACATGTCCAGACCCCACACAAATCAACTTTTGCGGCTACTCACGGCCATTGAGAATCGACAGATGACTTGGCCGGACCAACTGCTTGAAGGGCTGGTCATTGCAATAGCCAAATGTGACGGGGCCCATCGGCCCAATGAGTTTAGGCCAATTGTTTTGCTTTCCATCATCTACCGTTGCTGGGCGTCCCTGCGATCACGGCAGATGCTGCAACAACTCGAGCCTTTCATCCATGCAGATGCACATGGGTTCTTGCCGTCCAGAGAACCAGCCCAGACATGGATGCAGATACAAGCGGCTGTGGAAACCTCACTCCAGTCGGAATTGCCTATGGCTGGCATTGGCACGGACTTTGTGAAGGCATTTAACTGCATCCAGCGCAGGCCACTTTGGTTTTTGGCCGAAGCGCTGGGGATACCTGATGGGCTGCTCTGGCCTTGGAAAGAGTTTGCGTCGCGATTTACACGCAGATTCATGGTCTGCAACCAAGTCAGTGGCCCTATGCGCTCCACTCAAGGATATGCAGAAGGATGCCCTCTCAGTGTGCTGGCTATGGCGTTGATAGACTGGGGGTACCAGGTATATCAATACCAATATGCCCCTCAAGTCAGACACCTGTCATTTGTCGACAACATCTCAATGTTGGCGCGACAAGCGCATCTTGTGGCATGGGCATTTTTTACGCTAAGAGCCTTTCTGACAATGTGGGGGCTCAGCTTGGACTTGGACAAGACCTATGCCTGGGGCACCACAGCTGAAATTAGACTCCAACTCAGCCAACTGGGGATCCGTGTTGTGCAAGACTTCAGCGAACTTGGAGGCGCACTTTCTTTCACTGCTGCGCACAGAGTACGCTTCTTTGTCAACAGAGGAGCCAACCTCCAGGACAAGTGGCAACAGTTGAGAAGATCAAGAGCACCCATAGCTCAAAAGCTCCACGCGGTGCCGATGGTTTTCTGGGCAAAAGCGCTGCACGGCGCACTGAGTTGCACCGCAGCTGAACGGCACATTCACAAGTTGCGGACACAAGCAGTTAGGCATTTGGGGCTTCAACTTGCTGGATCAAATCCCATGCTTCGACTTTCTCTGGCATGCCCTCATAATGCCGACCCTGGGTTTTACCAGTTGAAACAGGTGATTTTTGATTTCAGGCGGCTTTGCCGGAAAAGCCCTGATTTGCTGACTTTTTGGCGCATTTTCATGGACAGATTTAATGGTGTTTTGAGAGATGGTCCGTTTTCCAAATTGGTCATGATGCTGAACACCATTGGATGGCAGATTCTGTCACCTCCTCTTTTTCAAGACCATGATGGCTTCACTTTCGACATGCTGGCACTTGACAAAGGTGCGCTACACCGACTTTTACTTGAAGCATGGTTCCAACATGTTGCAGCTGGAGTCAAGCACAAAACCATGGCTGATTTAGAGGGGATCGATCTGGAATTGACGCTTTTGGATCATGAAAAACAAACTGCTCTTGACCTTGCGAGAGTGCGAGCGTTGCAAACTGGGGCATTCACTTCATCATGGCAACATGCAAAGTATGACAAAACCAAGCAGCCAATTTGCCAATGCTGCCTTTTGCCGGACACACAACAACACTGGTTGCGCTGCCCTAGATTCGCATCACAGCGTGCGGAGACTGGTGATAGCTTTGACTGGGTTGACAATGCGCCGCAATGCCTGGCACTACATCTCTTGGTGCCGCGATCGAGCTATGTACTGCCACTGAAAAAGTATTTCATTGAGATCCCTGATTCGAGCGAATCTTTTTTGAGCTTGCCGAGGACTGGGGTCCGAAATCATGTTTTCACTGATGGTTCTTGTTTCAAAGGGGTTGTTTCTATCACTAGTAGAGCTTCTTGGGCTGTTGTTAACTCCACTACGGGTCAAACAATTAGTCATGGATGCGTGCCGGGACTGCAGCAAACCATTGGCCGTGCTGAACTATGGGCATGCATCTCTGCCATTGCTTTTGCAGTCAAGTTCGATGCGGACGTGACGATTTGGACTGACTCTGCGAACACCTGCAGACGAGTGTGCCAAGCCTTACATGATCCAGCTGAACACTGGGATGGTGAGAATTCGGATCTCTGGACCAGAATGATGACCATTTTGGCGCAGACGCGCAACGGCCAAGTTGAAGTGCGCTGGACACCATCTCACATAGATGACCTTTTGTGCGAAAACCCAACAGAGGAGTACCTCGCAGTCTGGAATGAGATAGCTGACCAGCATGCGGTGAACACAAACCGAAACAGAGGGCTAGCGTTCACCCAGCTGTGCCAGACGGCGGAGGAGTTCTACCAGTTGTGGAGAAAGCGACTGCAGGCCTTGCGACACTTTTACCTTCAAGTTGCCAATACCACAAAAGAGGAGCAGGAGATCATCGATCTCACAGATGAGCCTGATGTGTTGGTTCAGAAAGTCTTCAACGAGACGCTGGGAGACACTTTGCCAGTGAACTGGCAAAATCAGTTGAGCCTGAACTCTGAGAGCCTTGCACAGCCTGTTGAATTTGTTTTGACCCTTTTCAGCAAATGCATCGCTGAAGAGCCCATGCAAGCCAATTTTGTTGCAATTAGTTTCGTTGAATTGACGCTGTGGTCTGTACACAAACTCAACGTACAGTTTCCAGTTGAGCAAACTACTAGCGGTCAATGGATTTACAAATCTCCTTTTGAAATGCTTTTGCGCCCAACACTTGCTTCTCTGACTTTGAAGGTCAGACAGAGTTTCAAATCAGGCCTTCGCCTGCTGGGATTGGACAATTATTTGTGTTTTGGTTTGAATCGTCAAGTGGCTGGAATCGCTATTCCTGTGGACGGTTTGATTCTGTCAATCCCTGCTGCAATTCATACAGAGATTTGCAATTTAACAAATAGTTTCTTCCCACGGATGTTGCGCAAGGCAGCAGACGTGGCAAAGCCTTGTTGAGACCAGAGACTCGTGCAGCGCGGCACTGCAGCAGCTGTGCCCGATGCACTCAGAAGCCGTTCGCGATATAAATTTATATATAATGTATATAAAATGTATAATAGGTATATAATATGTATAATATGTATCTATACTATATTTGACCAAGTAAAAACAAATTATTTGGGTGTGTCTGAACATGAAAGTTTTATGTCTCACGCTCCAAAGAATCCAACTTGCTGGGGATGCCCAGTTTTGTCCTTTCGCAGAAGCTCCAAACATGACAGAAACAATGGACGCCTCAACTTACAATAGATAAACCCAGTGAGGGTCTATGAACCTCGTGCTTTGCATGAACTTGTTGCTAGTTTCAGCATGTTTCAACTACATGGGGCTTTCTTCTCAAAGGGTTTGTCCAAAAATAGGGCTACCCACAAATCATCTGTTTTTCAGTAGAGTACAATACTGCTGTTGAATCGCATTTGTTTGGGTACCTCCCATGTTGGGAACTAGGCTACTACGTGGGAGTGCATCCAAGGCGTTAAGTGGATAATAACCATGTGGAATACCCACTTGTATACGGAATTTCCCCAGCTAGACTATGCATGGGCTAAATGACGAACATATTGTTCAGATGGGTGGTTGTTGTATTGGTTTGCCTGAAAATAGCTACCCCCAAATCGAGTGATTTATCATTGTTTCCACCATTGAATGTCATTAAATGCCCAGCCATCGAAATAATGCCAAGTATCATATTGATATATTGATTATATTGGTTAAAATGTGTTAATATACATGTATTATATCTGGTTGAAGGTTTGGAACATTTTTGGTTTTTACATAATATGTGGGATGTCATCCTTCCCATTGACTTTCACATTTTTCGGAGGGGTAGGTATACCACCAACCAGTATATATATATATATATAGATGCATCCATATACATAGAAACTTACAAAGGTCACATGTCAGGGTTTAAGTTCGCCGCTGAAACTACGGTTGTCCCGGGTCCATCGGTGTTGTGCATCAGGCGACGCCATCGAAGGCCGCCCCGTTGGGTTCATCCAGGTGGGTTTGAAAACCGTCGGGAAGAGCAGGGAGAATGGGCAAGTCACCATTTTCAATGGGAAAATTCACCACTTTTGATGGGTAATTCAACTATTTCTATGGCCATTTTCAATAGCTATTTTGACATAACCAGAGGGTAACTGGTTGATGGTTTGGAACATGAATGGATTATGACTTTCCATTCAGTTGGGAATAATCATCATCCCAACTGACGAACTCCATCATTTTTCAGAGGGGTAGGTATACCACCAACCAGAAACATGATCAGGTTGAAAAACAAGGGACGAGTAGGACAAAATGCTGAGATTGATTTTGTTTCAAGTGAAACTTGGTCAGCATGAACCTTGGGAAAAAAAACAGCAACGTGTCAAAATTATGTAGTAAAGATTTAGATTCTAGCGAATGGGTAATCTGTCGGTAAAGTTTGGTGCAAGAATTCCATGTTTACAACGTACTTCATCTTAGCCATGAAAATAGTAGGATTTACGTCCAAAACCCAACAAGTAGTTGGTAGAGTGGGAGCTCAGCTTGATGTATCCCCATGACAAAGTGGGTCACTCATGCCAACTTCACCCCTTCTCAAGAGCTGCAAGGACATCCTGAGTGATGAACATGGTGCTGGGCGTCGGCCCACAACAGCTGGGAGATGCTTCGGCCCTGCAAGACTCATCAACTTCCTGGACCAAGAGCACCAATCGCTGTTCCAGGAGGGCTCTTCAGCAACTTCATGATCAACAAGACTCCCCGATTGGAAAATCAAAGCAGTTCGAATAGTTTTTCGTGGCGATGCCGTTCGTGATCAGGACGGTTTGTCGGCGTTTCAAGAGCTGCCAGTGCACCCAGCCCAATTGCAGGTCTCAACATCATAATGGCCATGCGATGTTAGAGGATTACTCATGCACCGCTTCGGATTGCATTCGTGCTTATATCCAATGTCTACTCAAATCAAAACATCCGACTTTTGTCTTGCTTCCACCGGAGTTAGTTCCTTTTGAAAAACGCCATATTGTTCAACTGTTTGAAAACAGGTGCTAGCAGTTTGCATGATTCATTGACAAAACCACTAGTGAAATGGTTTGTCTTCGCATTGATGAAACATTATGAAACCAAACAGTGGTGATTCCGGCCTGCATATACATGTGTCTATGCATATTAAGTACTAAGTACCTACACGGCCATTCCCCTGGTTGGTGATACATCCAGATGGCTCCCCTAGTCACATGGGCCATCGTCAATGGTGGATCCCCCAAATGGCTGAAAAATGAGTGAAGATCGTGAGAATCCCTATTTTTAGACAAGCCTTTTTTTTAAGTAAGCTGGTAACGCCCTAAATTCCAAAGTTCTAGGATCATTTCTTTCCAGGTTATGGCCATAGTTTGGGATAAATCCTGTTTTGACGGGTGAGATCTTGATGAATAAAGTGCATTCTTGGACAAACCAGCCACAGCATGCAAAGTCCAAAACAACTGACATTTAAAATCCGCCCACACCGCTTTGGCGGTGAAGGCGTGCTTATTGGGGGGCAACAGCAACACTAAAATGCTCAATGACATTTGTTAATATAGCAGTCGCTATATCAGCTTTAGCTGGGGGGGGCCAAAAACGGTTTCGCACCGAGACCAGAATACGGTGGTGTTTTCGACATTTTTCGAGGATTTTTGGGTGTCTGAGCGCAAGAGGGTATTGAAATGGAATTTTGGGTCATTTTGGTAGCTTTCCGGCAATGGAAAAACGGCCAAAAATGAAAAAACATTGTACATAGCAAGATTTTGCAGGGTTTTTGGATGCCAGAGCATTGAAAACACTGCAAAAACAAGTGTTTTGGACTGACGTTATAGCAAAAAACGTGTAAATTACCGTATGCTTGACTGGAAACATTACAAAAACACTGTCAAAAGCAATGTTTTGGAAGGATTTACTGCCTTTATGGCAAAAAACGTGTAAATTACCGTCTGTTTGACTGGAAACATTGGAAAAACACTGTCAAAAACAATGTTTTGGAAGGATTTCTTATATATATGTTGGAGTTGGCTACCGGCATTGGCACATGGAAAAATTGAAGAAAACACTGTAAATAGCGGTATTTTCAACGGTTGGGGAGATAAGGGAATTGGAAGCATTGTCGAACATGATGTTTTCGACCGGTTTTATGGCGACAAAAGTGTAAAGTACCGTGCTTTGAAGGAAACCATTGCAAAAACATGGAAACACATTCAAAGAACACGGGATTTGGGGGACTATCTAGGCGTCGTTGTCTAGCTATTTGAAATTCCGCAGCTTGGAGAGCCTCCAAGGGAGGGAAAAGTGAAAATTCCCTAGCTTGGGAAGCCCCCACGGGGGGGGAAAGTGAAAATTCCCTAGCTTGGGGAGCCCCCACGGGGGGGAAAAGTGAAAATTCCCTAGCTTGGGGAGCCCCCACGGGGGGGGAAAGTGAAAATTCCCTAGCTTGGGGAGCCCCCACGGGGGGGAAAAGTGAAAATTCCCTAGCTTGGGGAGCCCCCATGGGGGGGAAAAGTGAAAATTCCCTAGCAGTGGGGAGCCCCCACGGGGGGGGAAAGTGAAAATTCTTAGCTTGGGGAGCCCCCACGGGGGAAAACCACCCTTAGCCCCTCTCACGGACCGAAATAAACTAGCGGTGTGGGCGGCCACCCCACGCGAAGCGGGGTGAATATGTAATCCGGAAAAGTGACCAGATTGTTTTTTCTCATATGATCAGGTTCTATCTTCCCAAATTGATTTCCCGGAAGCAGATGATGGGAAATTCTGCAGGAAACCCCAAATAGTTGACGGTTAAAAACCATGGTTCCCGGTAATGTCCTTATGGAAATTTATGGGTTATTGATTCAATCCCACCCCCAATAGTTATAAGATGTTATAAGTTCTAACCACCATAGATCCAGCAAAATTCACCAATCTGAAGCAATCTGTCATATCAACCAGTATATCCCCATTATATCTCATATGGAGTTCGTTATTTTCAGGATATCCCCATTGCCATAGCACCTATATCCCATTAACTGGGTGAAATCTCAGCCCAATAGGTAGTGTTGATATGTTATAAGATGTTATAAGCATCAAAAGAGCAAAAAAAATCACCATAGACCATATTTATACCATTTTTTTTAGCAACCAGATAGAAATGGCTTAAATCCGCTTAACAGCATCCCGGCGTGACATCACCAGGTGCTTGCCAGATGAAGAGGCGCAGGCAAAAATCATGGGCTGATGGGGCGAAAATGCTGGGTCCCTATGGGCAAAAAACTGCAAAAATAGATCTGCAAAACATGGAAAAATTACAAGCTATAGCAACTATGGTAAAAATCATGGTAAACTCAAGATCTGATTTGCAACGATCGTGATTTGTTGGGCATTGAAGCAATGAAAATCAGATTTCAAAGTAAGCAAGACTGTAGCAAAAATGGGAGGATGAGGATGCATCGCCAGTAAAACTGGTTGGTGGTTCCAGGGATCTGTTGTTTTCAGCTGAAATATGTTGTTTGATGATCCCCAACGATGAAAAAAAAACGGTCGGTCGCTGGTTTCAGATCCCCGAAGGTGGAGATTTGTCTAACCGACAAGTCTGGAGATATTGCAAGCAACTACCCGGCCTGGTAGTGACTAACAGTTTGCTATAGAAAATACCACATAGAAATAGTTGATTTACCTATTCAAAATGATGATTTTCTATCGCTTTTTGTAAATGTTTACCAGGCCGGGTAGTCCGATCGTCTCCAAGGTCTATCCTCCAGGTCCCTTGGATGGCACAGTCCTAGTCCAGTCGCTGATGGTTAAAGCCCACATGGACATGCCCTTTTCTGGAAAAAAACATGAAAAAGCTATATAATTAGCCAATATGGTGCTTATCCCATTTTAGGTTGGTTAACTAGGTATATGGTTTTGTCTGAAAATACAATCATTATCCAAAAAATGATGGCTGAGAACATATCTTGTGCTATGATAAGAACAAATCGTTCGCAGCAATCCCCTATTTTCGTATAGACCCACAACTTTCAGATTGTTGAATCCAGACCACATAATGCTTACATCCCAGTATTTTGATTGTTTTTTCCCCCTATTTCCGATGCTTAAATCCCGTTTTTCAGAGGGGGTTGAATCTCGATTGTCAATTGTCTATGCTTAAATCGATGCTTAAATCCCTATTTTTGATTGGTTAAATGGTAAATCATCTTTAATCATCTTAAATCCTATGGTTAAATCAATCTATGGTTAAATCTGTAGGTTTTGGGCGGTTTCGGCTCCGTAAAAAAGTTGGACCAAGCCAGCTACACCATGCGACGCCATGCTTTTTCATGGCCAGGTGGCGCGCGTCGTGCGTCAGCTGCGTGAAGCAGAGTTCCACTGTGCGGAAAAGGAATTTCTACGACTGGCGAGGCTGGGAGCTCGGAAATCGACTCGGAAATCAGATGTTTTTGTTGGATCGTTGACCATTAACATATACCCTCTGGTTATTTAACATAGCCATGGTATAGATGGCCCATTTATAGATGATTTTTCCAGCTATAAACCTCCATTTAGAATGAATTTTCCATAGCTATGTTAAATAACCAGATGGTAAATATTATAGATGGATATAAAACAATACGTATCATATGTATATAGCAAATATCCAATGGATATAACATATGATATACAACATGTGATCATTAAGCTAGCTGTTTAAAATGGTGACTTAGGAACATAATATAACATCATTTGGGGGTTCTTAAAATGGTGGATCAACAAGTCACCATGGGTTCAATATTGACATGGTCTAATGAATTGGAAACCTCCATTTCTTTAGTTTTATATCCATAGACAATCAATGATATAGCAATATGTATTTTGATATATCATGATTTGAATGGATATAACAATGCATATCATATACAAGAAATATATTAAATGTCTCATGGATATAACATATATCACAGAATATCCGATCAAATATGCATGAGGTGTTGGCCAAAGCGCCTTAGGCTGAGACACATCCCGACACAGGTGGTTGAACAGTAGTTGATGGGCACCAAGCCAAATATCATATCAAATTGGTTATCCGGCCTGGTAAACGTTTACATAGCTATTGAAGCCATGGCCCATAGAAATAGTTGATTTACCCGTTAAAGTTGTGATGTTCCATAGTTATGTAAACGTTTACCAGAGGGTATATGGCTTTGTATATCCTTTTTTTTCCACCAAAAAATATCCCCATCGACAGATCCACATGGGTATGTCTGAAAATGGCGGATAACCCGTTGGAATTGGGGGCACCCCATTGACAAATCCATAAAGGGTGAGGCCCCCAAACGACAGTTAAGTTGACGCACATAACTTGGTTGACTGTTGGACTTTTATGGTTTTTTTCAAGGGAAAATCTTAACCGGAAACCATAGATGTTCCATGAAATATGGGGGTTTCTTGCAAATTTTCCCTTAATTAAAATTGATCTATGGGGAATAGAGCCATAGCTTTCATGGGCCTGTTTGAACCAACAAGCATATCTGGGGGGCCTCACCTTGTATCTGTATCCTGGATTCGATGAGCGTCGCACCAATGGTCTTCCAGATGTCTAATGCTGAAATGGGGGGATTCGGAAGACTTTGTTATCTTCGGTGATCTTGAGCAAGTTAGCTAAGTTGCCCTCTGGTAAATGTTTACATAGCCATTGAACATGGCCCAGTCGAAATAGTGGATTTACCCATTAATAGCATGGTGATTTTCCACAGTTATGTAAACGTTTACCAGAGGGTACTTGATGATAGTTCATGATATTCGCTCTTTTGTTGCTGAATCCCCATCAAAAACTCACCCGTTTTCCTTCAGCAAATGAGCCAACGCAACTTTTGGGCGGGAAGCGGACGTGCAAGGCATGAATTGTCGACACCTTCCACCCAGAGCCTGATCGCAGTATCTCGGAACCAGAAATGTGGGAGTTCACCAGTAAATGATTGACAATGGATGAACATGGCCATAGAAATAGTTCATTTACCTATAAAAAATGATGATGTTCCATAGTTATGGATGATTTACCCTCTGGTAAATTAACAGTTCGACCCTGAAAATGACAAAAAATATAGTGGAAACTCGTCTTCCAATCCTGACAACTGGCAGGGTCGAACTGTTAATTTACTATCTGATGAAAAGTGTAGAAAGCTGGGAGTTTCTATGTGAGTTTCTTTTTGGGAAAACTATGGGAGATTCATCAACAGAAAAATATCATGTTATGCGAATATTGACCGATATATTTGCTGTCTTGACTCATATGAGAAATCATGGCAGGGGGGTTTTCCTGTAAACTTTCCCTTAAACCAATCCAATCCAATGATTATTGGGAGTTATTTGCATTTGTGTTCAATTGTGGTTTGGAAGATGCACTCTCAGACCTCCATTCACAATGTCCATTCCGTCCATTCCCATTCAAAATGGTGATGTTCCCATTAGTTTCCATTCCTCCTCTCTAGGATGGTTTTGGGCTTTGTGAGGTTGTACAGTATTGCCACTTGTATCGGGCCGAGGACGGCAGCAGGCACTCTTGGACAATTTACCGCCAGTCATTCAAATCGCAACCGAAGTCTGAACGACCAACCCAAAAAAATCTCCCAAAGTGATATGAAACGAGGGAATAGCATTTGCCCAGATAGATGATTTGCACGTTAAATATGGGGATGTTTCACTGTCACGTTTGATCACAGCGTCACGAACCCCAAAAAAAACCACCCGCTCCAAGGCTTGTGCGGACGTAGATGTCACGCGAGCCAGCGGTTGGCTTCAAGTCTTGAGGAAGAACGGGCGACAGATTTCGCCCAAGAGCTTTCAGGTGGGGATTGGTGTTGATTGGAAATCCCATCTGAAGATGTCTTCGTTCACTTCTTTGGGGGGTTCCATACATGGAGGATCTCCAAAATGGAGGCTTTATACTGGAAAAATCTATTAAAATGAATGGTTTTGGAAAACCTTCATTCCGAATCTGGTGAATACATGTTGATTAGATTTAATGAGGTTCCTATATGTTTCTAAATGATGTCTTTCATCAACTGGCTCGCAGCGATTAGCAGCAGCATAGTTTAGGTTTTCTCTTTTTTTGAATGGGATATATAATCCCAGTTGGGAAACTAAATCTGAATTGGCCAAGTGGGATGCGCAAGCAGGGTCAACATGTTTGTGGTGGATAGAAATTACCCCCAGAACTATACCTTGGATTACCTTTGATCGCACCATCCAACATCTGGGCACGTACAAGTCGGACACAGTCCGAGTGCGCCATCCAAGCCGGCCCTTCGTCCGTGGGACGAAGAAGCGGGCGCCTGGTCGTCACTGGGTGTTCTCCAACGGAGACTTCTTGCCTGACGGCGTTGAGAAGTGCCACCGGAGCATGAGGTGCCGCATGCGGAGGCCTTGAACCTCACTGATGGTGCTACAGCAAGGCTGAGATGGCTTCGATGCTGCGGAAATAGCAGGTTCCAAGATGAACTGAACTGAAGCCATGTAATTAAATTCACCATCATTGTTCATGATACAAATTCCACTTTTCAGACTTATACCATTTGGATGCCCCCTAGGAATGAGTTGGATATATAAACCCATCTAACTATAGATATATTCACCCTGTGCAGCCCAACAGTTACCCTCTGGTAAACTAACATAGCTGTTAAAAATCACCATTTTTAGTGGGTAAATCAACTATAAATTGCCGTTTTCAATAGCTATGTTAAGTTACCAGAGGGTAACCTAGTCTAAAAATTGCAACTTGGCTTCAACCCATCTAACAGTTGACTACCGCTAAGATCATCCCACTTCGCAAGTGGTGCAGCCGATCGCAAGTACATCCCCATTCATGAGCTTTTCCCATTTATGGATAAACGAACTTTGATTATAAATGGGAAAAGCTAATGAATGGGGCAAACTTTGATTATTTATGGTGTTCAACCCATCTATCTTTTATGGATAAACGATTCACCACTTACCCTAGGGCAAACTAAGATAGATGTGGAAAAACATGAAATGGGTTTCTTAGGAAAATCATCTACAGGGGTTGGTAACTGTCCCATTTTGGGAATATTGGACATCACCTTATAGTAGCCATTATAGACTCTAATAGACCATATACCTAATGGTTGGGTGATGTTCAATGGGGACATTTAATGACCCATGATCTACAACTAGTGGATTTTCATCCAAACTTTCCACCGCTGGGCTGCGGCCGCTCTCAGTTGGTGGTGGATGCCTTGATCAAAGAAGTTCGGATGGTGGAGGCCGATGACGTGCTATGAACTAATACATCTGGGGATTTAACAGTTTGCTATGGTATAGATGGCCAATAGAAATAGTTGGTTTTCCATACTTTTTGTATGTTTACGAGAGGGTAATAACATCTGGGGATTTAGCCACCAAAAAATGTGGATTCCTGCACCTCAAATGGTGATTTACTTATCAACAAATGGGATTTGAGTAACTAGAACTGATGAAATTAGATGAAATTAGTGCAACAAAGAATTTGGATTTGCCCTGCTAGTGTGGAGAACGATTGGATTTGTTTCAGGAAAGGGTGGGATTGATTCTTTGCCCCCGGATAAATCAACGTGCATATGGACAACGGACGCTTTTGCTGGGAAAATGATCTATAGATATCTAATAGATTACCAACTTTTGCCACCAGTAAAATCGCGATTTGCAGCAGCAAAAGTTACTCCAGGATCGGAGACTGTTTGTTGCCAGAAAGGGGGATTGAGCCGAACTGGGGACATGGCGGAACTGGGTAAAACTGGGTAAAGCAAATGGTGAATGGTGTGCATGGGCTTAGTTGCTACCCTCTGGTAAACATACAAAAAGCTATTGAAAATGGCCATTTATAGTGGATTTACCCATTAAAAATGGTGATTTTCCATAGTTTCGTTTGTTTACCAGGGGGTAGCCATGAAATCATGGAAGATGCTGTATCCAACTCTTTCTGTGTGGGGTGTCACCATCCAAACCTGTGGAGAGAACTGCAAAAGTCAACTGAGCAGTCAACAACAGCAAAAATGAGAGAAAGAGTTGAATAAATGGTGGTACCCCCAAATCATCAATTTTAATGGGAATTTCCATTATAAACCCTCCATTTTAATAGGAAATCATCCATTCTAATGGGAATTTCCATTCTCAAACATCCAGCGATAAAGGGGTAGCCCCACTATGAAAATCTCCAACTGCCATGGCAGCAAGCGAAAATTCGCCATGGTTTCATGGCCCTAAAATGGCCATCTTCTGTGGCTTGTTCGACAATCCCATAGAGATATACATATTATATAATATATATATATATACTGTGTGGCAACCCCAAGGCAGATTCAAAAGGAAGTGTTTTGCAAGGATCGATAAATCGAAGAGTTGAAGCTTGGAAAGCAAACTAGCCATTAAAAAAAAGCACGCCATGTGTTGTTTGTGGGGAAATCTGACGTTCCACCTGCGAGGCAGAAGAGTTGGTTCTGAAGATGTTGGAATGTCCTATTTCTGTGGCACCTCGGAGACGATTTCTGAGAAAGAACTTGGGAAGATTGCCCACAACGGTCATGATATGCTTTGTCCATACGTGTTCCACATATATAATCGCACATGTACATGTATATACGTATATAGTAGCAATATGTGTATGTCTATATATATATACACACAGTAGCTAATGAATATATCATATATATATATATGCTACACCCCCCCCCAAGATCGGTCCCTATGAGAAACTTACCTCACAATTACAACCCCCCTGCCACTGATCTTGGCAGGGGGGTGTACCATATATATATACTGGGGTATTCCTAAGTTCCTTGGTTAATCATTGTGTTTACTCATAAAACCATTCCGTTCCTGCAACATGGGCCCCCCAGTTACGAATAGGTATATGTCTGTCCGTCCAACTCTTGATAATCCCACCATAGATCCAATGTGTGGAAGAGTGTAACAAAGTCCCCGTATTACTCATGGTAAATCCCCAAGTTTTCGATGGTACTTGTACTATGCCACACTTTTCCAAGTTTATCTATTTGTGTAATCATAAAATCGATATATTTTCACGGAGATATTCTAGGTTTAGCTCGGTCGTAACATGCTTGACCTGTCACTTAATTAGTTACGGCACAAACAACTACAAACCCGTCATGTATATATATATATACTGTACTGTATTATTTGTCTTGGTGACACCTCCATATTTTTCTTGTTTAAATCCACCATTTTTCCAATGTACATAAATATGTTTGTCTTACGGATAAGGCCTCCATTTACTTGGACATGTCTTTAACTCGGGCTACTCCAAAACCATTGCTCACCACTTTCCCATGCAAAAATCACTCTGTCTAAGTGATTTTGGCCAGTTGGGTCTGAGGTTGTTGTGTTCCACCAAACCCCATTGCGGAGTGGTAAATGTACCCATCCTTCCGTAATCAGCTCCATGGCTTGCTGGAAAATCCCCAAGCAAATTGTCCGAGGAATTTCACCAGCTATAAACCTTGGTTAGTTCAGTGATTTTCCACTACCAACCCATGAAATCAGATTTTTTATAGCTAAATTATCCAAGATCATGCAAAATGGGACCATTTCTCCAGTAGTTGGCCAACTGCTGAGATCTCGGGTGGTTTGGTGGCCCTCTTCCGGCAGTTGGAGCTGGAACGGATCGAGGCCTTTCCACGCTTTGGCCATGAAAAATTGGAGGAAATGACTGATTTCATACAGGATGGGGAAAAAATAGATAGTTAGCTAAGTTACTATACTAACAAGTTGGTGTATGAGACTTATAAATATGTTTAGATGGGGTGATAAACCAACTTATAACTAGGGGGCGCCCATCCTGTAGGGGGTTTCGCATGGTTTTACCATGAAAAATATGGCGATATAAGTATAACTAATGTATAACTAATAAATGATGGTTTCCTAAAATGGTGGTGCCCGCAAATCATCGAAGTCATGCATGACCATGTTAGTATTGAATCCTATGGTGACTTTGGGATTTACCATTTCAAGAAACCCCCTTTTGGGGGGAATAGCATGTTTAAACCAACTACAAATGTAGATCATTCTCCCCTTGATGATGGTATCCAAGGTTAACCATGAATGACAGGGAATGGGTCATGGATACCTGAGGACGGCAATGAGTTTTCCCTGTTTCATGGAGAAACCTCCCAGTTTTATACCGTTGCTTAGAGGATCGCTCCACTTAGTATTTGCTTCGTAACCCTGGTAAGGGTCCATTCAATCGGTTATCCCATCTGTAACTATGGTGAATCTTCCCCTTGCGATCCAGAAGACGATCCTCCGGTGAATGGGTGGAAGATCTCATCCGCTTGAGATCAGCTATCTTGGTGTGAAAACTTCCCTGGGAAGAGCAGGAAAAGTGGCTTTTCCACCGTCGTGTCATCGGATCCAGAGATGGAAAGGCTTTTCCGATGTTTGGATGCTATGTACTTCATCATTTCCAGGTGTCCAAAGCCGTCAACCACTTTTTTGCGGATGCTGCACATATTCTCGACACTAGCGAACTTCTGGTCCCCCCCATATCCTTTTTGATCATAACTCTATTACTCACCATATTTCTGGTTCAAATAATTTCAATTCAATTTTTTCTTAGTAAATCTTCCCCACTGTTGAAAGCTATCCATCCCCTGTTTATTCTTTTCCCTTGCCACCGAAAAGAGACCTCCAGGAGTTGCTGCTGAAGCTTCGGCAAGTAGGCGCTTCGGTAAAACGGTGTCACCGGAGGGCCGGAGGGTGTTTCCGAAGCAGCAAATCAAAGCATTTCTTGTGAAATCACCTACCAGTCAAAAGGTTCCAACGGAAACGAACTGCCAATCCTTGGCTTTTTGCTTCCCCTATGAGAAATGACAATTAAACCATTAACAAATAGGGATTTCATGGGACTTATATAATAGGATTTAATAAGATTTAACTCTGGATTTAATGGGATTTAATGAGAGAATCATGTTAAACAACCCCCAGAAACCATGGTAGATGTAGGGGATGAAACCAGATATTTAAGGGACCATCAAGCATGTGGGTGTTTCGAACAGGGGATGGGACTAGACACCGCGCAAAAAAGGGGCTGGTTGGTAAAACAATCCCACTTGTTGCTCAAATCCCTACTGTGGATGGGCCAGCGAAATCCGATAAACCACCAAAAGGATGGTTGAAACCCTATAAATAATGGGATAAACCATCTATCAACTGGTGCAGGATTTCGCAACCATCCACCGTAGGTTTAATGCGCGAAAGATGCAATATATTTATCAATTACTGGGTGGCGGCTTGGAACATGATTTTTGTTTTTCCATTCAGGTGGGAATGTTGTTTTATATTTTTCAGAGGGGCAGGTATACCCCCAACCAGATGATACAATGAAATATGGTACAATATCCTATTGGATATCCATTCTTGGATGTAGAATAGTATCTGCGATTGGTCATGAGATGTGTTTTTCCATGCTATGTTTAATTTGTTTATTGATTACCCTCTGGTTATGACTAACATAGCCATGGAAGCCATGGCCCATGAAAATAGATGGTTTACCTATGTTTACCTATTAATAGCATGGTGATTTTCCATTTCATATATGGAATGTCATCCTTCCCATTGACGAACGCATATTTTTCAAGATGATTATTGCACCACCAACCATCTTATTTTGTTTATTGATTAGATACGCCAGCCATGTTTGATCCTACTCTCTCCATGTTCCTTCCTGAACGTCCAGTCTTAGGGATATTTTAGGCGAGTAGGAAAAACCAAGGTATTAAGAATACATCCCCAGCAGTGTATATGGATGTGGTTGAAGATAGGGTATCCCTAAATTTGACGGGTTGTCATCGTGTTCCCTTTTCCCTACTTTCTGTTTGCCATTTTAGTCTTATGGGTATACCGGTATACCTCATTTTTGGAGACACCCGTAGCACAGCACTGCTTAAAAATCAAAGGTTAAATAGTTCAAGATCCAATCCAATTGAACTAATAAAACCGATAGTTATCTAGTTGAACTATTAAGAATCAACTACAGTAGATGGACAAAATATTCAAACCTTGCCATGTACTTCATGGAGAAAGTCATGCACGGGCGTACTGACAATGCGGTCCAGTTTGCGTACAAGCGGATTGCCCCCAAGAGTATTGAGCCCTGCTTCCGCAAGCGATTGCTCGGGCCTTTTGTGGCAATTTAGTGGAGAAACACATGACCCAGTCTAACTACTTTGAACCCAGCATGCATTGGCCCAAGCCTATCCTCGCCAACCCGGAGCTGAACATCACGCTTACGCGTTTACAATACCTGGGTAACACCAAGAGCAGACGGGAAATGAACGTTTTCGCGGCGGCGAACCCTGCTCGTCTGCCGCTTGCCATGGGGCTTGTACAACACGGTGTCCCCTTTACGAGAAAGCAAAGGACAGGACTGGTGGATGCCCTTGTCCTCATCCTCAAAAGGTTTCTGACGCCGGCATCTGAGGTGGACGCATCAAAGGACAACTATTTCCGCGCGACGCTAGTGTCCCTAGCCGCGAAGGAGAAATACTGACCCAGTACGATGTCAGCAATCAACAAAAACGTTTTGGTTACCAGACATGGTTCGAAACTCCTTTGTCCATTAGCCATGTCAAGCCATGAAAGCATGGTGACAGCCATGTTCTTTGCGGTGACTGTTGCCTTACTGCTTGCAGTGCTCCCTCCACCGCCCAAAACTCAATGTTTCACCGTTTTGCCAAGTGTGGTGCTACAGGGGGCTTGATTTCTTTCACCCATTGGGGCCAACGCAC